AAGGCACTAAATTCTAGAACTATCATGTGCTCCTTTGTGGAACTTTGACTAATTTTGTTTCCTCAAAATAGAGTTGCCAAAACTCTTCCCTGGTAACACTGAAGATAAACAGGATATTTCTTAGGTTTGTGAATTTTGTTTCTTGAGCTTTGGAAAGACTATAATAGATGCATTTCTTAGCACGTTATACTATAATTATAATCTCCAGCATGATTCCATCACTCAGTTGCTATGTTTTTGTAACTTTTAAAATCTAATGTACTTTCTTTAGTTACAGTATTTCATGTATGTTAATTAACCAACTGCACAGTGAAATATATCAATGCCCTTTACTTCCACATTTTCTCATAGAGTAAACTGGTATATTAACACTTAAAACAGCATGAGAACCATTGTATTACAGAAAATGACTGCAGCTTTAAAAAAGTCATTTTACTGTTAGATACTTAATCACTGCTTTGTGAAAGAGTTTGAGAGACCTGGGAATTAAAAAGGAAAGTGTTGGATCTTATTAGCCCTTCTAATTTGATAAGATAGATTCTCTGATTGGGTTTCTTGTAGTACGATCTTTTACTTTGATTTGGTGTCGAGTTGAGGTGTCCCTGTGGTCAGCTTTCAATGACAGCATACATAATATTGAATAAAGGCCCTCAAAGTGATTTCTAGGCCTTCACCTATAGCTTTGCCCCTGCTACGTCTTTGTTCCTTCATCCACTAAATATTCATTGAGCCCTTACTGTAGTCAGGTATAGTCCTAAGTACTTTATAGTTTTAACTTCTTTCATCCTCATAGCAATCCTGTGAGGGGCTATTATTATCATATCCATTTTAAAGATGAGTAAACTGAGGCACAGAAGAACGAAACAAATTGTTCAAGGTCACAGAGCAAGGAAGCAGAAGAAATGGGATTTGAACCCAAGTGAACTGGCCCTTGAGCCCACACACAGGTCACTATGCTATACTGTCTTTTATTATATAGTGCTTACTCTCCATTAACCCATGTATATGAAATAGCTACCTGCCTCCTTGAGAACAATGAAAGCAAGTTTGTGTATTGAGTGTCTGAAGTGATTAGGAAATACTTGTTAAATGGATTAATTACTGTCTATGTCAAAGGCCTCTAAAATCTTGGTTGATATGGGTTATGAAATTGTTCGATTATGATTTACCCAAATAGCCGTGGTTGAAACAACTTACCCAAAGTTCCTGAGAGGTGAAATGGTTCCAATATTTGGGATAAATACCATCACTTATGTGAAGTTAGTCCTTCTTCATGTCACCTATGTCATAATTTGTACACTGGGGCTTGTAGCTCATTACTCATTAGCAGTCTTGTTTAGAGCATATGATCAGATAACAGTCACCTCTAACTGATGTTAGGATTCTAAGAATACAGTCGGCCCTCCATATCCACGGGTTCTGCATCAGCGGATTCAACCAACCATGGATGTAATGTCCTACAATGGTTGCATCCGTACTGAACATGTACAGACTTTTTTTCTTGTCGTTATTCCCTGAACAATACAGTATAACACTATTTACATAGCATTTACACTGTATTAGGTATTATAAATAATCTAGAGATGATTTAAAATATACAGAACGATACACATAGGTTATATGCAAATACTACGCCATTTTATGAGAGACTTGAGCATCTATGGATCTTGGTATCCGTGGGAGTCCTAGAACCAATCCCCTGGGAGAATGAGGGATGACTGTATAGGCTCTTAGTGAGAGCTCTGGTAAGATGCTATATTTTCTTTATTTTGGAAATAATTATGTTCCTTGGAACACAGTGTTTTAGATGTTACAGTTAATAGAAAGCAAAAAACAAGTGAACACACACCTGAGAGGATACATTTCTCACCTTAACCTCTTTTTGACATCTGTGTGCTCCTGATGTTTCATAAATTCATACCCATTTGTTTATCTTCTCTTTGATTTTTCTCACTTCCTTGCATAATGTATCTCGAACTATGAAAAAAAATCAAGACAAAACAAAAGAACCTTTTTTGGGCCCTTGACTTTTCTATGCAAGAAAAGAATCTTAAAAGGAGTTATTAAGGACAAAAATTCTCAATTAAAAAGAAAGCATCTTTTTAAAGCCATGTTTGCTCTTATTAGAATCCTTCCAAGGTAAGTATAGCTCGTCCAAGTATCTGAGGGTCTTATTACAAATTATATCAATCCTGACCAGTCCTGAAGCCAGATCCTAAACTGGAAAATTTGTACAGTTGAAAATGCTTAAGAACCCTCTGTTGTTGAGTTCTGCTTCTATCTTAGCTCGGAAGCACAGAGACCCCCTTTTTACTAGAAGATCATGAGAGTTGGCAATATTAATTGCTAGTTCAAATATGTCTGATCAATCACCCAGAGCAAAGATCAGCAAACTTTTTTCTGTAAAGGGCTAGGGAGCGAATATTTTAGATTTTGAGAGTCTTATAGTCCCTGTCATAACCAACTCTGTTTTTGTAACATAAAGGTAGCCAGAGACAATACATAAATGAATGAATGTGACTGTGTTTCAATAAAACTTTATTTTAAAAAGCACGCATCAAGCTGGACTTGGCTCACAGGCCATAATTTGCTAACCCCAGATCTAGAGAAATCTGATAGGTTGGGCGTGTTTTTTTTTTTTTTTTTTTGCAGGGAAAGATTTGTCCTGAGCTAATATCTGTTGCCAATCTTCCTCTTTTTTTTTTTTTCTCCCCAAAGCCCCAGTACACAGTTGTGTATCCTAGTTGTAAGTCTTTCTAGTTCTTCTATGCGAGCTGCCACCACAGCATGGCTACTGACAGATGGGTGGTAAGGTTCCGCGACCAGAAAACGAACCTGGGCGGCAGAAGCCATGCGAGTGCTGAACTTTAACCACTAGGCCATCAGGGCTGGCTCTTGTTGTCTTTTAAAAAAATAAGTGAATCCTTCTTGACCCTTTTATAGTCAATCTTAATAAACATTCATTGAGTTTTCCATTAAGCACATGAGACCACGTAGGATATGATAGGACATTAAAAGCTCAATTGTCACCATTGTGTCAAATATGCCATTATCTCAGATATGAAACACAATAAAAACAAACCTACAAAACCAGGGTCATCTCTGCCCAGCATGTACACTGCATTTTTTGTAACAGCTCGATGTTTTGCCCTTCCTTTTGCAAACCCCTCTTTTGCACTCCTGCCTCAGCTAGGGCGTGGGCTGCCTTCCCCACTGCTCTCAGACCTCTTTGGCAGTAGCTGCCTTGAACTCCAGCCCACATACGGTGTCACATCCCAGTAATTCTTCCCCACACCTTGGCTGTGGGTTATTGAGCTGACAAATGTCGAAATGACTAAGATATGATATTTGCAGCCTGCTGAGAACCTCTTCTTTTGCTGCACTTTTTGATCTGCAGCTTTCTCAGTTTTGTGGGAAAAGTGAGAAAAACATTCTTAGTGACACAGGCAGTGAATGGGAAGGACAAAATTGAAGGGGCGCAATATATAGGACTTCTTCCTGCATTGCGGGCAAAAGCGTTTATTTATATCTTAGCCCTCTGAACGTCAGAGGTAACAGATTATACAGTGGGGCGCAGGAAGGAGCATCCTGTGTCCTGAGGAGAATAATGTGTTCCACCACCTGGCAGCAGATTGGGCAAGGACAAGCTACGAAAATACAGGTTCAAAGCCATATTTAGTATTACTGTTAAAGTGGCCTTTGTTACTTAAGGATTTGATTTTATAAATTAATGCTTAGTCCCTTTAGCATCTTTAACATTAGAAAAATGTAGAAAAAAATGTGAAAGTCATATACTAACATCATCAGGTAAACTATGAAGCCAGATCCTAATGTATCCCATCCCCAGAGGGAGCATAAGATTAACTTTTGGAAGCCAGGATGCCAAATAGTAACATTTTGAGCTTTCTCCATTAACAAGGCCCCCTGGTGTGATATTGTGCCTGGAGTTGTAAGGTTTTGAACTATGGCTCAAAAAAAAAAAAAAAAGCAAAAAACAAAATGAAGAGACGATGCAAAGAGGCAAGACAGAGCTTTTAGGAGGGACTTTTGGGGCAGGAGATACAGGGGTTGGCTTTTAAAAAATGGCGTAATTCGCAATTTGTGTTTTAATAAGCCTCTGAGATCAAGGGGATTGTAGAAAAGAAGAGCAAAATGGGAGTACATTAAGCACTATTGATATCCTGATAGGGACATAAAATAAACTTCTTTTCCTCCCATTATGCTTTTCCAATAGCCTGGTATTTTACTATGTGGTTGGTTGGTTGGTTTACTTATTCATTTGTTTGTTTGCTTGTTTATTTCTTTATTTCTTTACACTTAGTCGTTACTAGCTTTCCCTACAAAGCAAAGGGACCAACCCAGGCCCCAGCGGACAGCTGGGTACCATGAATAGATGAAATAGCCCAGGATTGACACAATCAGCCCTAGTGAGAACTCTGATGAACTCGGGGAGAACATGCCCTCATTGAACAGCATTCAAGTTCAATATTTTTAAAACATTAAAATAAAAATAGACCCTGTGAAAGTCAAACAAGGTACCACAATGAGACACAGTGTTTTTAATTTTGTTTTTTAAAATTCCTTTAGATCTGTTACTGGCGCATTGGGTTCTTGTTGTCCCCCAGGATGGAAATCAAGAGAGACAACAAACGAGAGTAGAAAAGTAAAAGTTTATTAGCTTGTGCACCGGAGATTCACAAGGGAGCCGGTGAGGAAAGGAAAGATGCAGGTGACCAGCTCCTTAGGGAGCGGGATTGTAGGGCTTTTACTAGGCAAAGGCTGGGGAGGGGTGCCTTGTCATGGCGTGTAGAGGTGGGGTTTTTCTTGCGCTTGCGCTGTTGTTTGACATGCCACCACATGCGTTGCATGTATCAGCATGCTAGCTCTCCACCCCTGGGTGTGATTTTTACTATGCTAATGGGGCTAGGGTCACCTTCAGTGGACTCCTGGGTGCTAGGGCGCATGCCTAAACCCGGGAAAGCTCCACAACTGTGGAATGTGGATCTTGGTGGTCTCTATCTGATTCTCCTAGCTTGCCGATTGGTTAGGGGCCTTATCTTGTTAGGCTAGGGGCCTTGCAGATGGCCCTGTCTTGTTAGGCTGGCTCTTGTCTCATAACCTCTTCATCAAGTTTGAAGCATGTACTCTCCTAAGATTTCTGGTTAAGATATCACTTGGTGACATTAAGTAGCAAATTAAACATAGCAATTCCTCTTCCAAACTCCGGTAAAGCTCAAGGCCTTTTTTGCATCTCTTTTTTCTTTTATTATAATCTTAAAGTTTACAAAACTCTAAGACTGTAAGTTCGCAGAACTTTAGAGTTTATTGTAATGATTTTGTTTTAGGTGACAAAACTAAAGCTCACGTAGGTAAATTGATTTGCTCAAGATCATTAAACTATTTTCTATCATTGTTGGAATTAAATCCCAAGTGTCCTAAATCCATAATCCACACCACTTTACTGATACTGTGTATCAAGTTTAAAAAAAGAATCCCAAAAGTTTTTATTCTAAACTGAGATAGCATCCAACAGAGAATTCAGAGGATGTGTGAAAAATTGGTCATCTTCTTTCTACTGGTCTTTGTTCCCCCACCAGAGAGTATATCACCAGCCCATTTAGGGGTCAAATCTACAACTCTCTATTCTCTTGGTCACTAGGGGAACCAGCTAAGGGATTATGGACAAGTGGTGAAGCAATTAGTGGCTTCTGGTTCTGACTCAATAAGTGTATGCTCTAGTGATGAATTGTCAGTGATACTCCCTTCCTACACTGAGGACAGATCATTAGGCAAACTCAAGCAGTGGTTCCCAAGCTCTGATGCAGAACTAGTGTCAATCTGCACCCAAACTTTCACTGATCCATGGTGAAATGAGAAAAGTAAGGCCAAGACGCTGAGTTTCCACAAAGTTAAACTTACAGACTACCCTATGTTCTGAGATTTTATCTTCTGGTTTTTTGATGGTTAAAATCAACGTCTTTGACAAAAATAGTGTTTTGTTCCTGTTTGTAGCCTCTTTAATTAGCAAAATAAGAGTTGGCAACTCTATGTAACTCCTTCTCCACAGATTTTTCTTTGACGTTTTACTGATCTGTGAAAACCAATAAACCAACATCCAGAAAACAAGAGATTTAGTGTTATCTATGTTGTCACACTAGATTTAGTAGATTTTGAAGACTTAGGACCCTCTAAGTCTAAAATTTTGTTATGAACTAGATAATCTTAAAACCAAGCCATTTATTTCATTGAGGCCCAGGAAGTTATTACTCTAAGCATAGGTCACTTAGATGTTAGATATTAAGATATCTCAGAACAAGGAAAAGAGATAGATTAAAGACATAAAACAGAATGGGAGATTTCTAAAAAAAAATTCTAGAATAAATATTATTAGAAGGCCAAAATCAACTTATAAACATAAACTAAAGAAAAATAGACATTTCTAAGGACTCTAAACTAAATTTAAAATTTTTTCTCTTCTTAAACTTTATAGCAAAGTAGAGAGTGCCATTTGGAGAGCTGAATTAGCCAACATTTGAGCTAACACGATCCATCTTTGTGTCACGAGAGGGTCAAAAACCGTAGTACCCAGCCAAAAGAGAGGATGTGATCCATACTAAAGGCAATTACTGAATTTCTATCTATAGTTCTCATCTACTTCTACCTTTTCTGTCTCTTGGGTAATCTATACCAATAACCTCTTGCTTCATGAAATTTTTATCTAAATATGACACTTAATTTAGCCTAATAAGAAACCACACCAAAAAATTTAAAAAAAAAAAAGGGCCGGCCCCGTGGCTTAGCAGTTAAGTGCTTGCGCTCTGCTGCTGGCGGCCCAGGTTCGGATCCCGGGCGCACACCAACGCACCACTTCTCTGGCCATGCTGAGGCCGTGTCCCACATACAACAACTAGAAGGATGTGCAGCTATGACATACAACTATCTACTGGGTCTTTGGGGGAAAAAATAAAATAAAAAAATAATAAAAAAAAGAAACCACACCAAGATTACTGAGTGTTTATTGGAATTCAGAGGTTTGGTGTCCTGAATCAAGTCTAAGGATTATAAAAATCAGTCACAGACTTAACAGTGATTATCTCTAGGTGGTGGCCAGTGGATGATCTTTATTTTGTTATTCCTGCCCCCAAATTTCTATGTTGAGTATCTATTACATTTGTAATCAGAAAGAAAGCCTATATATATTTTTTAATGTAAAAGCATATATATTTTTTAATGACCTTTATTAGGAGGTCAACAAGGGAAATCTTGTGAATATTTAGATATAGGAACTCTGCCAGATCAGTAATTTGAAAAAATAGTGAATCCTGCCTTTCCCAGGAGTTGGAATTAAGTCCATGATGTATGGCCCTGTGAGGAAAGCTGCTGGAGGAATTCAAAAATGATGATGACGATGATATGTAGGACTCTGTATAGCTCTGCACACACCAGTTCCCTGGGGTCGGACCTGTTCATCAACTGACAAATGGTCCATGGACACACCAGGTGGTCATATAGCAGCAGTAGGCACAAGGTATATTGCAAGTGACCCATTACCAGAAAGTTTAAAATCAGTGCTTGGAAACCAGGAACACAGATGGGATGTGAAGTGGCCTTCAACAGACACTTGGGAATATGATGGATTCTTTAACCCCGCCTTTAGGTGCTGTGTGCATCCTCACTGCCTGACCACCCTCATCTGTACATCTGCTTGTTAGATCTAATGAATGGTTGCAAGAATGCAGTTGCAAATGAGTAATTAAAAACTTTGCATTCCTTTCTCTCTACCTCCCTCTTATTCTTCACTCTCTCCCTTGATAGGATGTCCAGAAAATTAAGCTAGCTGCGGATTAATTGAGACTCTCTTCCGTGTAGGGAACATCTGTCACTGCTGCTACAAAGATTGTATTAACGAATTAAAACATTTGATTACCTTTAATCCAAAAGAATGCGGCAGGCTCTTCAGTCATTTAGCTTATCACAGGTTTTTGGTGGTTCTTTTTTTTTCACTTGAAGCTTGTGACTGTAGTCCTTCCCTGAAGCTGTGAGATCTTTAAGCAGATGTTGTTTTCCATATCTATAGCCTTTCCCTTATGCAAGGGGGAAAAAGCCCTCAACAAAAGCAATTTTGGAGATAGGCAGAAAAGGTCTCCTTCATGAACATATTTTTAGAAACAGCTGGTAAAACAAATGGTCCAAATGTGATGCCTAGAGCATGTCTAGTCAGACAACAGGGTTGTTTAAAGATAAAAGCAGCCACTTTTAAATATCAGCATTCGTAGTGATTTCCACACTTACATTTAAGAGATAGGAGAGCTTGCTAACATTTTTTGATTTCTATGTTGTTTTCTGGGGCAACTTCTTTTACTCTTTTGGTTTTTTTAGTGTGTGAATTTATCAGACACTGCCCACCAAATTAACATTCTGAATATCATCACAGAGAAAACTTTTTTTAATTAACACATAATGGATTTTTTTAAATTTGCTTTATGCTACTAAGAACATTCCTTGTTGATAGTATCTATGTGTAGTCCAGAATATCAAAATGGGAAATTGATAATGTACTTAAGTTTTCACTGATCTTATAACCTGTTTTGAAAAAAGTCAGGCAGTGCTACTAAGGGACAAACATTTGTATTTGTAGCCATTAAAAAATCTGATTTCACTTTTCATTTGCCGCATTCAGAGTCTGCTTTATGACCTTTCCTTGTCATGACTTCATTTATTTACTAAACTGTTTTGTTCTGGAACCACTGCCAAATGCCATTACACGGCTTCCTTTATCACACTGATTGGTGAAATAATTCTTTATTATATTTTTTACAGTAGTTCCTATTTTCAAATTGTGGATTCTCTCTGAGTCAGGCATTGCACAAATGCTGATTTGTTGTTATTAAACTTGATAAAAAGGGTGTTCACCTTATCAGTTGCCATTCATGCTGATTTTTTCCTCCACTTTCTTCGCTATGGTTCTATTTTCCTTTAAAAAAATTTCAGGAGCAGTATCTCAAGGAGAGTTAGTTAGTCACCATGTTGGACCTAGTGGGATCATACCCATTGGAGAAGGGCCCAGCTTTAAAATGATGCACAAGGAATAATCTTCAGTATCTCCTCCCCTCATCCCCTGCCCCATGGGGCACAATACCATTGAGTAGATAGATGGAACTGAGTGCTTCACTTTCACTTTTTTCATTAAATAAATACAAGAAAACTGTCTTTTCTAGAACCCAACACATCCACAAATGTGTCTCTTGGCTATGTTACCCCAAATTGGCCTACGTGATGGATAGTTTTGATGTTATGTAGGATAGTCTGGGACTGATTTTTTTTTCTATCCTGCTGTTCCTGGAAAACACGATTATAAACACTGATAACCAGATTTTTAAAAATATATATGTTCCTATCTTTATACACTTCCACTAAACCGTCAATCAGTAACTTTCATGGATGGTTCTTTTGATGTAAAAATAACTCCATATTGGAGTTATAGATCCTCTAGCTCTTGTCACACTGGAAATCTGACCACAGAGTCTGCATTTGGCAACGAAGAAAGAGCATTTGAGCTTGCAAGAAGTTTTAGACATTAGGAAAAATCAGCCATCTCTGAGAGGGAGTCATTTGTGAGCAGCAACTATCTCACAGGATTTTGCCCAAGGTATAAAAGAAAGAACTTCCACCTCAATAGGCTTTAGTGTCCTTGTGCATCTTTGGATGAATGGAGATGAGAGTGAATTTAGTGACCCTGCACTGCCCCTTGGTGGGGAGTGAGTGGGCTGTGCGAAGAATGCAGATAGAGTGAGTAAAATGATGCATTCACTGGAGGAATGTTGACTTAAAAAAAAAAAGTGAGTCTGTATTTTTTGGTACACCAATTCCTGCCAATCAAGGAGAAGGTGACAGAAATATATGTCTTAGACTGGAAGAGTCACCAAAGCCATTTCCAGCTTCTCAAAGTCTTAGATGATACTCCCTAGTTCCTTGTAGGATTGCGCATTATTTCTTCAAACACATACAAGGGGGACTTGAGACAGCATACAAATTCTAGCATCCTTATATTCTCCAGAGCCTATAAGTGAGTTAGTCACACAACAATTTTTTGAAAAAACAGGTGTTGCCTCAAAGGATTGTGCTGGAGATGAGAATCATATATTGGTGAAGGTAGTGAGGAAGTAGAGATCAAATATCAATCTACTTATAATTTACACAATTCCACCCTTAAGAGAAAACACATTCCTTCTTCCCCACTACCACTCTCACCATTACAGTTTTTATCAGTTAAGTCATTGAATATGTGATTTTAAAATTGCTGATCATTTCCAAGTGTGATTAGTGGTTTTATAGGAAATGGTTTGTACATGCTCTGATTTATTAATACTTGCCCCACAATAAAAATTTGCTTGTGCTTCTACAGTTGGAATAAAACAAAAATGCTTTCTAATAAGACTGTATAATAACAATAATTTTTATATTTATTACATATATTATATTTTATATTTATTATAATTATTAATAATAATACAGTCATGTGTTGCTTAACGATGGGGATACATTCTGAGAAATGCATCTATAGGCGATTTCATTGTTGTGTGAACATCACAGAGTGTACTTATATAAACCTAGTTGGTATAGCCTACTACACACCTAGGCTATAGGGTACTAATCTTATGGACCAGTCTTAAATGAGGTCCATGGTTGACCAAAATATCGTTATCTGGTGCATGACTGTAATTATTGTTATTATTATAATAAAGAAATACTATTTTTCCAAAAAGGAAATAATAGGAAATCTATTCCTGAATGCCTGTTCCTACAACAAGAGTTTTCTAAGTCACATTTTGGATTGCTGACAGCTTCCCAGTACTGGGTTGGAACTTAAATACTCTTTCTATCAATTGGGAAACAGTAGTTTTTCTTTAGGTCTGTCATTCATTGACCATGTATGGCTCACCTTCTGCTTATAAAAATCCATCACTCTGCTGCCCATTGCAATTTATTAGATTAGTGCTGATTACTGTTTAGATTTGTTAAGTGACATAGCACATTTTATGGAGTCAGGAGCCAGTAGCCATCAAGGTCAATAGTGGTAGCCTGAATCAGTTATAAATGAATTGTTTTATTGCCCACAGAATGATCAATATATGTGTTGCCACAAAAGATTAGTTCTAGCCCCTGAATGAAAAAATATATATACATATTTATTTAAATATGTCTATTTAGTTCTATGGGATAGCAGACTTCTCTGAAGTTTTCTTCAGAGAAGAGAGAGATTGCTAGTAAGCATCTTTTTCAGTGGAATAGAGCTGAATTGTGGTACCAACATCATCTATACACCCAGCCTACCGTGGCCACAGAATCCAATGACTTTTTTTTTTTAATGAAGGTGTCTGCATATCCACAGCACCGCTAACTGTATTTCATTACAATGCATTGCTTCATTCAGCACACTCTGAATGAAGAAGATATGCTTGGCGGCTTCAAATTCAGACACTTCCTCCAAGCAGGGCTTGTTTATCTGTCTGCAACACACTTGGAGTGTTTGAAAGACTAGTGATGAGGTTCATTCATGCTGTAAAAATGTGTTGAGCATCATGGCCACATCCTTCACAATGGCCTGGCACGGAAGGATGGAGAAGGCCATTGTTACCGCATAAATGACTCGATTTGCCTCTGATATGACTTGTCCAGGGAAGTTGCATCATTTTAAAATGAATGAAGTTCTAGGGAACATTTATGACTGTAGTACTTTAGTTGTAACTTTGTGAGACTTTTTAATAAGCTTTCAAAGAATAAGTTTGGAATCTAGAAATAGTTTGTTCTATTTCCGGGGGAAAAAAGGATGCTTTGCACTTCGTAGGATCCTTTATCTGGCCATGGAGTTTGGATTCAGGCTCAAGATGGGCTTGAGAGTCATGCTCCCTGGGCTCCAGATAAGGAACAAAATGAACAAAATGCTTTTCTCTTTCAATTTTAGAATGGAGGCACCTTTATTTCTGGAATTATACTCAGTAAACCCAAAAATGTAAGGCTCTTGTGTGATAGCAGAAGAGAGCAAGAGAGGATAGCTTGAAATATGACTGTTTTTCTTTTGCAAGTACTCAACTAGAAAAGGAGGCTGGTAATGCTCAAAAGGAGGGCGTTGCCTTTTACAAAGCCTGGAAGTTAGAGACAGCTCACAGGTCTGAGAGTCCTCCCAGACCATTGCCTGATGCCACTGGCCAGAAATAGGGAAAGGAGGTCTTGGTTTACTATTCAGTGGCACAGATGCACCCATATTGCAATGGAGGAGAACTAGTCTACCTGTCCACTTTACTTACAAACTGTATTTACCAGAGTTTGGGTAAATATAGACACAGGCAAAGTAACTTCTCCATTTGGTCTTATTGGACTAAATTACCTTGTTCCATTGCCTACCTCCTAACCATTTACTTCATAAAAAGAGACTTGCTCAGTTAACTATTCAGGCAACTTCATGAACTTTCTGTGTTATTTGGTGCAAGGCATTGTTAATAGCTGTAAGCTACCTATCTTCAGTTCTTTCTCTCATTTTCTTCACACTGATTGATGAAATGGGAAGGAGGTTGAATAAGCCCCCCCCCCTTTTTTTAGATGACACAAATATTAAATTGACAGATAAACTCCTAGGAGGTTCCAGTCCATTTCAGGAAAGTGTTGATATGAGGTCTTTAAGGGTCAATAGTCCTATTAAAAAGAGAGAGAGAGACCACTAGGGAATCGTGAGGAAAAGAACAATGGGGGAAATATCTCGATTTAATAGGAATTTGGGGGTGTTGAGAGCATTTTAAGAAAAATGCTTGCTTTTTCACCAGCTGAGTCATTTTGTTCAAAGGCACAAGAAACTTAATACTTTGTCTGAAGTGTAATAGAACTTCAGACCTATCTCCACAACTTTTTTCTCTTTTACATAATCTTGTCCTCACTCAAGAGCTAGTGAGTGAGCGTTTTCCCATGAGAACTGGTCATGTACAGGATGTTAATGCAGAACTGGGTCAGGCTATGGTGTTTCACACATAGAAGGTGGGAAAGCTCTGCCTCTGGTTAGATTCAGGTGTGCGGATTGTCCCGTGCGTTCCATCCATGAGCCTGGGAAGCTCATGTAATCACGAGAACTGAGGATATACCCACAGATGCCTTGGACACCAGGTTTCTGCGGGCCTAAGCATTGTGGCTGGTTTTATTTTTATCTTACCAAACATGGGGTTTTTCCAGCTTCACTTTATATGTCTGGAGGATGAAGCTATTTCAGTTAGGCACAGCTCGGCCACTCTTAGAAGCAGTGAGGATGAATTTTCCTTGTTTGTGCCTGCTACTTGCTAAAGACTAGAAACTGATAATTTTGCTGCTGGCCAGATTCCACTGAAACAGCTAATAGAGTGTTTTGGAATGATGCCAATAGCAGCCAGATTGCATTAAATACTTAAACTATTTAAGATCAGTTCTGCAGTTGGGGACTTGGAATCAGCAGCAGATCCACCTTGTACTTTACAGCTTACATTGCTCTGTGTTTTTTATGTCTTCTGTGATTTCCTCCAAATGGTTATCTCAAACTGGATTCTCGCTCTCTGTCTCTCTCTCTCTAACACACATGCTTATGTGAAAATTTCATAATTCTTTAGAGTTTAACAAGCACTTTCATATATGTTACCTCTTGCCTTCTACATATATTGATATTATGTCATTATCTGTGTTAATCATATTGGTGGTTCAACAGAAACACTATAAGAATCACAATGTAGAGTATCTCCTAAGTTGCATTGTGGACCATGGCAGGAGGGGAGAATTAGATATCAGAGACATGGGCTGTAGCCCTTTCTCTGTTACTCAGTGTCTTCTTGACTCTGAGCCAAAGCCTTAAATTGTCTGCAATGTAGTTTCTTTACCTTTAAATCAGTGGTTCTAAACTGATGGTGATTTTGCCCCTAGGACATTTTTGACAATTCTAAAGATATTTTTGATTGTCACAACTGGGGAGATATTATTAGCACCTAGCAGGTAGAGGCCAGGGATGATGCTAAACATCCTGTAGTGCTTAGGACAGCTCCCACAACAGAGAATTATCCAACCCAAGATGTCAATAATAATGAGGTTGAGAAACCTTGCTTTAAGATGTAAATAATATCTACCCCATTCATCACAGGACTATTGTGGGGCTCAAATATATATGAAAATATGAAGTATCCTTCCATATCTGATATAAATACTGTCT